AATATAATTAAAAAAATTTCTTCTTCAATTGGAATGTTCCGAGAATTTTCGCCGCCCATCCCCTCTATAAAAAAGGCAAGGCCACTTTGTTCCTGACAATAAGCCCCTGGGCACCAACCCATTTTAATACATTGTCTCGATCTAGTTAAGCTTGCTTTCAGTTTCATTAATTCCACCTATCCTAGTTAAGTCCATCATGGGTGAGCCAACCCTTGTCGCCGAAAAAGTTCTGAAAAAAACTGATACGGGGCACAGGTTTAGCGTCCCAATGAAGGCGTTACCCTTGTTCCCACCATTCAATGGTCGTCATTTCGTGCGTGTGGACTTTTGGCATGGCCCAAAACATTGGCCTATGGTCATATCCATTCGCAGCCGTGGCCACAAAAAACCTGTATTCTCTAGGGGTTGGAAACCCTTTGTCCGCGCAAATCAGTTGGAGGTTGGTGATGTAGTCAGAATCTTCAGGGACGAAGATGAAGCCGGAATCTGGTATCGGATTGAGATCGTGAGAAGCAGCAACCCACCCAGGCCAACTCCAGTCGCTGTGCCAACCGCCCACAACAGTAATTTCAATGTGGAGGTCGCTGCAAACATCCCTGCCATCAAACAAGAGACGCAACCGGCCCTTGGAATTGTTCGGAAGGCTGAAGAGCGCAGTTTGAAGCCAGATGACAAGAATTTGGGGTTGACACTAAACAAGGAACTGCGAGTGCCCATGTCTCCCTTTCCAGCGGAAGTGGAACTCGAGAGCACTGGTGGCGTGCAGCAGCAAATTGCCCATGAAACCCGCCATGATGATCCTAAAACAGCCAATTTGAAACCAATTCTTGATCAAACCAGTGCAGAAGAATTTCCTCTGAAATTAGACCTGACTCTGGCACCACCTGTGGTGGCCTGTGAAGGAAATCAGGTGCCTACAATGGGTTTGTTTGCAACTGAGGCAGTAGCTCGCTAATTGGCGCCATGTCTTTTCTTCTTCTTCTTCTTTAATAAGAAATTTTGACTGTAATTCTGCAGCTCAAAGTTGAACCACTTTTTGACTCTGTTTGGGTGAATCGTTCTTCA